TGAGTCTTGAAGAAAGAGTAGTTGTGCACATATATGAGGGTACAGGGACATTCGAGGGAGAGGCAATAATAGCACATACATAGATGTGGTGTGTGAGAGAGCATTATAAATGTAGAGAACATGTATTTTTTCATTATGAGAATGACGGGTTCATATAGTAAAATATCGGAAGAAGATGAAGCTGAAAGAAGAGTGGATCAAAATCATGTTGCGTGCCATTCCAGTCATCTGAATTCTATTCTTAACGTGATGAAGGCCTTTACTGACAAAGTAGGAGAACAATAAGATGAAATATTAGAAAGACATCTGTGTGATAGCAGTGTGGAAGATTGATTGCAGAGGATGAGGCCTGGCTCAGGGGAGTGAAGTAGGATACAATAGCAATTAACCAGGGAGAAAATGATGAAGGCCCAATTATGATCATAGCAATGGGGATGGAGATTTAAAAAATAGATAAAATAAATGCTTAGGGAGGTCAATGGAAGCAAGAGAACTGTGAGACCTATTGTATGTAAGGGTGAACAATTCAATGATGATGCCATGATTTCTAGTTTACGCATTTGGATGGATGTAGATAAAGACTGAGATAAGAAATACAGATAGAGTAGCAAAAATAACAAAATGAACATTTGTTATTTTTGTGGCTATCTGGCATCTGAACTCCCTCCTCTTTTTGTTTTTGTTTGTTTTTGGCTTGCTCTCCATAATATAAGTCTTAGGTATGCTCAGAGTTCATTTCCCACTATAGAAACTAAAAAGACAGTCTCACTTTCCTGAAAAGCAGTGATATAAAGAATTGGTTCTCTAATCCCTTCTTGTGGGGGCAGTAGCAGTGGTAGCAGTTCTGCTATAGCAGCCAGGGTTGCTGTCAGCAGGTAATAGCTGTTAGCTGCCTTGTGGTTGGGGTAGCTGGCATTCATCATCAGGCCCATCAGACACTTGCTTTGGAGTAATCCTCATTGTAACCCTAGCCACTGTCCAAATTCCCTGGGACATGCCTGGTCATCCTGCCTGGCTCTCTAGGCTTCCTCATGACTCTTCTTCAGCTTAAGTCAGTTAGAGCGCATTTCCATTGCAGGCAATGAGGTCTTTAACAGATACTAGAAAACTTGGAGGGTAAAATGGCATGGGGCTGTGGAGAAAATATTTTTATGTTTCTGCACAATGAGGGAACAACAAATATCACTGAAACTTGGTTCTAACAAGCTTGGAAAGTAATTTATGTGTAATTAAATAGTGAGAGAATTCCATGGATGGCACAGTAGAAGGTCCTCACCAGATGCTGGTATCTTGATGTTGGACTTTCCAGCCTTCAGAACTATGAGAAGTACATTTCTTTTGTTTGTAAATCACCCAGTCTGTAGTATTCTGTTATAGCAACACAAAGTGGACTAAACTGAGATTAAGAATTTGGAGTGGTAATAAACTAGAAGAAATGGGATCAAAGTTGTGCTAAGAAAAAAGTTGTATTGTTTGAGGACTGATAGTTGGGGAGAAACAGGGGAAAAGAACTGGGAGTTCAACAGCAGGAGAATACACATCTTCAAGGACAGGTTCTAATCCAGGAACCAGAAAATTCGACTATGAACACTTTTCCCCTTAAACCTCATTTATACCAATTTGTGCTCTTGCACTTGCCAGTTACTATGTTACGTTTTGAAGACACAGCAGTGAACAAAAATAAACAAATGTCCTGCTCTCAAAGATCATATATTTGAGTGGGAGGTGACAGATATACAACTGTATGTGTCAAGTAGAGGTAAATATAATTGCAAAAAGTAAAACATGATGAGGAATCCAGAAAATGACATAATCTCAGCACTTTCAGAGGTGGAGGTGGGCAGATTACGAGGTCAGGGTATCAAAACCATCCTGACAAATGTGGAGAAACCCCATCTCTACTAAAAATACAAAAAAAAAATTAGCTGCCCTTGTTTGTGGCTCACAGACCAGCCAGAGATATAAGCGGAATTTAAACACAAATTGGGACTCTCCTGCATTGGCTCATCCTTTCCAGAATATCCCTACTAACTTTCTAGCAGCTGAGCGTGTCTATAATCTGTTTTCTGGTTCTTCAAGCTGGTAAGGAAGTGATTTTCCACTTCAGTTTTAGCTCTCTTATGCCAACTGAGATCTGCTTCAGTTCCTTCAAGAGCAGGAAACTCACTTTTTGATCTCCTCTTCCAAATGTTGACTCCCTTTCCATTTCTCATTTCTGCCTGGTTATTCCCTTTCTAGTGCTTTTACGTAGCTTTTTTTGTCTTGTTTTGTTTTTTTGAGACAAAGTTTCTCTCTTGTTGCCCAGGCTGGAGTGCAATGGCACAATCCCGGCTCGGCTCACTGCAACCTCCACTTCCCTGGTTCAAATGATTCTCCTGCCTCAGCCTCCCGAGTAGGTGGGATTACTGGCACACACCACAACACCCAGCTAATTTTTGTATTTTTAGTAGAGACAGGGTTTCACCATGTTGGCCAGGATGGTCTTGAACTCCTGAGCTCATGATCCACCTGCCTTGGCCTCCCAAACTGCTGAGATTACAGGTGTGAGTCACTGCACCCAGCCTTTTATTTATTTGTTTATTTTTGAGATAGAGTTTTTCTCTGTTGCCAGTCTGGAGTGCACTTGTTCCATCTCAGCTCACTGCAATCTCCGCTTCCCGGGTTCAAGCGATTCTCCTGCCTCAGCCTCCCAAGTAGCTGGGACTACAGTAGCGTGCCACCACACCCAGCTAATTTTTGTATTTTTAGTAGAGATGGGGTTTCACCATGTAGGCTAGGATGGTCTCAATCTCCTGAACTTGTGATCCACTCGCCTGAGCCTCCCAAAATGCTATGATTACAGATGTGAGCCTCTGTACCCAGCCAGCTCTTTCTATATACATTTTCCAGAGTTTTTTGTAGGAATGTTGGTTTGGTGGGAGCTAGAGAGCCAAGTTCCTTACTCGGTTTTGGCTCCTCAGTTCATCACTATAGATACTCCCTTGCACCTATTTTGAACTTCTTTGCCTGTCTCTTCCCTCATAATTCTCACTAGCAATACCTGAGGCTTGATTAAATACAACTTTCCACTGCTCTGAAATTACACCCAAGCAGCTGAAATTTGGCTGAATAAAAATATAACCCTGACTGGTCTCACATTAAATGCATGTCCTAAGAGAACTAGTATACTTCCTGTTGATTCCTGCTCTTATTCTCCTAAGTAACTGTCTTCATACTGTCTTCTGTTTCTACTAATCCCCATATATGTTTACCATGCTCCACTTTCAGCTTGCTATTAATTTAATGATATAACAGAAGTAATAAGAAGAGAACATTTGCTTGTTCCCACTATCACATCTACTATCTGCTGTTTAGTGTGTTCCACTTTCAGCTTGCTATTTATTCAATGATAAAATAGAAGTAATAAGAAGAGGTTATTTGCATGTTCCAAAAATCACATCTACTAACCGTCTGCTCCTCTACTGATGAATTTTGCACCCCTCCCTCCTGTTACATGTGGTATCTGTTCATGTTCCTAACTGAGGATTCTCTTAAACACTGGGCTCCACCCTCACTTCCCTATTCACAAATAACTGTCCTCTCTTTCTGGTATTATCCATTTTCCCCTCCAAATTTATTATTTCTCTCAGTATACAAACATGTTACAATATTGTCCAACTTAAAAAAAAAAAACCTACCTGCCACCACCCCCTCCCCGCATTGAGCCTACCTGCTATCCTCATTTCTCTAGTCCCTTGTATAATAAAACTAATTGGGTTGGGCACAGCTGCTTTTGCCTATAATCCAGCACTTTGGGAGGCCACAGCAGGCAGATTGTTTGGGACCAGGAGCTTGAGAACAGCCTGCAACATGGTGAAACCCCGTGTCTACAAAAGATACAAAAATTACCTGGGCATGGTGGTACCTCCCTGTAGTCTCAGCTACTTGGGAGGCTGAGGTAGGAGGACCACATAAACAAGGGGAGGTTGTGTCTGCTGTGAGCTGAGATCATGCCACTGCACTCCAGCCTGGGCAACAGAGGAGACCCTGTCTCAAGTAAAATAAAATAAAACTAATTGTGAAATAATTATTTTTCTGTTTGTCACCACTTCACCTCTAACCCTCCCTATCTTTTTTTTTTAAGTCATTAGGCAATACATTTTTAAAAATTGATTAATTTATTCTTTTGAGATGAAGTTTCACTCTTGTTGCCCAGGCTAGAGTGCAATGGTATGATCTCAGCTCACTGCAAACTCCACTTCCTGGGTTCAAGCAATTCTCCTGCCTCAGCCTCCCAAGTAGCTGGGATTACAGGTGCCTGCCACCATATCCAGCTAATTTTTGTATTTTTAGTAGAGATGGGGTTTCACCATTTTGACCAGGCTGGTCTTGAACTCCTGACCTCAGGTGATCCACCTGCTTTGGCCTCCCAAAGTGCTGGGATTACAGGCATTAGCCATCGTGCCTGGCCCCAGCAATTCATTTATATAAGTTCACAATTCAGAAGCTAAAAGAGTGTACACAGTGTTTCTGTCTCTGAAGCAACTCGTATTTCAACACAGAGGCAACGGTCAGTCAGCAGCTGTGCAAACATATACAAGCAAATATGTAGTCTTATCCTCATTTTCTTTTTTCTTTTTCTTTTTTTTGGGGGGCCGGTGAGGGGAGATGGAGTCTTGCTCTGTCACCTAGGCTGAAGTGCAGTGGCATGATATCAGCTCACTGCAACCTCTGTCTCCCTGCTTCAAGTAATTCTCCTGACTCAGCCTCCCAACTAGCTGGGATTACAGGTGTGTGCCACCATCCCTGGCTAATTTTTTTATTTTAGTAGAGACGGGGTTTCACTGTGTTGCCCAGGCTGGTCTCGAACTCCTGAGCTCAGGCAATCCACTTGCCTTGGCCTCCCAAAGTGCTAAGATTACAGGTGTGAGCTACGATGCCCAGCCCTTATTCTCTTATAATATTAACATATTCTAAATTCTCTTCTGCACCTTGATTTTTTTCTCACTTAAAAATCCATCCTACTTACCCGGCAGGGGAGATATCATGATCATGAAGGTGGTTTTCCCAGGGCAAGACTTACACATTGCACTCCGGATGTGCTGACCCCTGGGATTTCCCCAAATGTGGGAAACTCGACCGCATAATTTGTGGTAGTGAGGGACTGTGTTTTGTGCTTTCCACTGATCTTTAAAAAAAAATCCATCTTGTAGATTATTTTGTATCAGTGGAGAGTTCTACGTCATACAACGAAGTAGCTTCCTCATTGTTTTTATGACACATGGAAGCATATTATGTATCACCATGTGACTAGTTATAGTACATTTGAGTAGCTAAAATTATGTTATTTATTTTTCTTTTTCTGTTTTCTCTGCTAGAATGTAAACCCATGAGGACAGAGATATTGTCTGTTTTTTTTTTTTTTTTCTTTTTTGAAACAAGGCCTCAGTCTGTCACCTAGGCTGGAGTGCAGTGGCATGATCATGGCTCACTGCAGCTTATACCTCTTAGGCTCAAGTGATTCTTTTGCCTCAGCCTACCAACTAGCTGGGACAAGAAGTGTGTGCCACCATGCCTGGCTAATTTTTTAATATTTTTTTTGTAGAAATGGGGTTTTGCCATGTTTCCTAGGGTGGTCTGGAACTCCTGGGCTTAAGTGATTTGCCTGCCTCAGCCTCCCAAAGTGCTGGGATTATAGGCATTAGCCACCATGCCTGGCCATCTGTCTTGTTTAATGCTATATTCTCAATAACTAGAACAGTGCCTGGAATGAAATACGCAATAAGTATGTGTTCAGCAAATAAAAATGTACATGTCTTAACTGTTTTTGTGGTATCTTTTTGTCTCTTTCCCATCTGCACTGCCAACTCTGATTTGTTCTTTCCTGATACAAAGAGATTTGTATCAGAATCTCTTTCAGCCTGAAACAGAGGCTCTGCACCTGTTTCATCTGTTGACTACATGATGAAATAAAGATTTGGAGTAATAAAGAGGAGTCAAAAGGATGAAATCCCACTTCTTTTAGTCTCACAGTCTGATGATATCTTCCAAAAATATTTAAAGTTATAATCAATATGAGTATAAAAAGCTGTTCAGAAATAGAATAACCATGCAGTTGCCCTAAGCCCATGTGCCAGCCTAGTAGCACTTCTCTGAGCATCAGTGTAAGCAGTACATGGCTTTGTGGTCCCTCAGTGAGCCTTTCCCACCCTCAGTGTTCCTGAGCATATTTCCTTCCAGAAACAGGGTGGTCAGGGTCGTAGAATCCTCTAACAGAAAGCTCTTCCAAGCAGCAGTAGATCTGAGCATAGGATTGCAGTTGATTATGATTCCTGCTGTTTCACAGGCATTTGATCTAAAGCATTCACTTCTCCATTCGTCTGCCCTCCTGTCCCCATCCGCACCTAAACTCTCCCCACAATGATTCAGGAAGTGTAATGGGATCTATTGTGTTGAAATTCAGGGAGAGAAAAACTAAAGATTCTGTATAGATTATTTAGGAAGATGAGAGAAAAATCACTTCTCTTTAGTGCTCAACCAAGAAAGTACCATGAAGCATCAAAGCTTTGCAAATTTTACTTATAAATCTGTGTAATTGCATTCCCATGTATACTTGTTATATGTAGTTGCAGAGAAAAGAGATCCAACTATCTCTGTTGTCTTTCTACATGGATTTGCGTAAGAAGATGACCCCTGGCTTTGTAAATGCTATAGGCATGTTAAGTCATAGGTGAAACTTTAAAGAGTTTCACCTGTGAAAAGATGCACAATTCGAGACTGTGTTTGTCACCATGAAATACATGTCACCAAAATGTTGAAATGTCAGGGTTAAACTTGAAGTGTGGAAATAGGGAGCAGGCTGAGGAACAGAAGTCAATGATTAATTATGGTAGAGCTGAGATTAAATAAGGACTTTGGAATAGTGAGATGTATTTTGCTGAAATAAAGCTGCTAAGGAAATTTCTTTCTTTTTTTTTTTTTTCCGTAACCTGAAATTCACCAACGTCAAAACTCAGAGTGAGGAGGCTCATCAGTCTTGACCTTGTCTGAAATGGCCAATTTGGGTCAAGACAGTTGTGTGGAAGCACAGCCTCCGATGGTGGCTATTGTGGAGGACGTAGGAAACAGCAGCTTCTGTTATATCCACTTATTTTTTCCTAAAAGCAACAATTGCTTTTAGGAATTGAGACTTCCTTGGAGTATGTTAGTCCTAAAATGAAGGATACAGGAGATAGATGCAAGGCTGGAAGGACAAATAAAAGAAGCAAAAAGTATTAGCAGATGATTTCAAAATGATAGATGTCAAGGCTGTGCCTGGACAATATGTCAAGGCTTGGTGCAATAGCTCATGCCTGTGATCCCAGCACTTTGGGGAGCCAAGGCGGGAGGATCACTTGAGGCCAGGAGTTTGAGACCAGCCTTCACAGCACAGTAAGACCCTCGTCTCTAAACAAGAAAAAAAAAAATGGAAAATTAGCTGGGTGTGAGAGCCAATGTCAGTAATCCTAGATGCTCGAGAGACTGAGGCAGGAGGATTGCTTGAGTCCAGCCTCAGTCTCTCGAGCAGCTAGGATACAGTGAGCTATGTGGTGCCACGACACTCCAGCCTGGGTGACAGAATGAGTCTTGTCTTAAAAAAAAAAAGGTTGTGCTAAATATGGATGTTATTTTCTAGACACAGACTTTTAGAGTTGGATAAATATATGCATATCCACTGCCCTAGCCAAATTATTTTACACGTCTAGGCTCTCACCTTTTGGGAAACTGCATCTCTCATGCATATGTTTCCTAAGAGAGGAGCTTATTTAAACAGTTTGATCTTGCACTATGGTTTAAGAATGGGTAATGAAGAAAAGATGCACAATTCGAGACTGTGTTTGTCACCATGAAATACAAAATGAAATAAGGGAAATAAGACAGATGCTGTTATTATTCCTATTTTTCAAATGACAAAAATGGAAGCTTCCAGGGGTTAAGGAAGTTTTTCCAAGGTACAAGGTTAGTAGGGGCAGAACCAGCAATTCTAATCAAAGCTGTTTTCCTCTGAAACCAAAAGGGCTCAATAAACTGGCAATTGTTATAAGACTGAAAAGGTTAATTGAAAACAGACAGTGCCAGACTTTGAATGGCATTCTTAGGAGCTTAGATTTTTTTTTTTTTTTTTTTTTTTGAGCGGGAATCATACTCTTTTGCCCAAGATGGAGTGCAGTGGCGTTATCTCAGCTCACTGCAACCTCCATCTCGAACTCCTTACCTCGTGATCACCTCCTTGGCCTCCCAAAGTGCTGGGATTATAGGCATGAGCCACTGAGCCCAGCCAGAAGCTTAGATTTTTAAATGATGGAGAAAGGGGACAGCTGCAGAGATTCTGAGGTGGGAAATGAAATGTTTTAAGTTGTTCTATAGGAAGATAACTCTGAAAGAGACCAGAGAGTTGTGATGGTATTCCCTGCTCTTGGCATTCATGAGCCATCTTACTATATTAATAAATTCCTTATTTAACATAAGCTAGCTGAAATTGCATTTGTCAGTTAAAGCTGAAAAAAAATCTTATTAATACATCTCATTTTGCAGAGGAGGAAATGTAAAACCAGAAAGTATAAATGAAACACGGTTTTTTAGGTGTCAAGGTCAGCACTGGACTGTCCATGTCCTCAAAAGTGAACAAATCAATTCTCCATTGGCAATTGAAAGTGAAGATTTTATGCAAAAATTTAATGCAAAAAAATTAATTCCATACTAATAGATGTGGAAAACCAGTACTCAGATAGATGACAGATGCATTTATTAAATGAATCTAGTATAGAACCATCCCAGGCTTCAGACCAGCTTGGACAAAGCTCCTCATAATTCTGCTACCTAATGATTTGGAGTTAGAAACAAACATAGCATGCTCACATAAACAGTGAAATACACAATAACACGTGTTCATCAATAAGTCTACTGCACCAAAGTGGAGGAAAAACAGAATCAAACTAATTTCAATGCCTATAACCTAGCTTTATGAGAAATGGGTGACTTGAAGAACAAGACTCTGTCTCAAAAAACAAACAAAAAGCAAAAACAAAACAAAACCAAAAAAAAAACTACCTTACTCCCGTCCCTAACTTTGGAGTCATCTTTAACTCTAACCCATTTATCCGACTGATCATCTAGATTCCAGATTCTGCAGCCTGCCAATCAACAGTATCCTCACATACATCTTTTGTTTTCACCCCCACCTTAATACAGTGTCTTGTATCCACTCGCTAATATAATTGCAGTAGCCTCTTAACTCATCCAGCTGTTGCCACTCTCTCCCACTACCACCTAATTATTTTGCTCCTCACTGCTTATAGAACTGGCTTCAAGCTGCTAAGCATGTCATTCAAGGCTAACTGAAATCTGACTAATATGTTAGCCTTAATTCCTCAATTACCCATAAGCCTTAGCTAAATCAGCTATTAATGCTCAACAAGTATCAGCTGTTATTATTTGTTGTTAATCAGATTGTCCTGCTTGTTTCTGTACCTCATGTGTAAATGTGACCTCTTTCAGGCATGAAATCTCCCTGATTCTACTCCCTCACCTGCACTGAAGTGATGATTCTTTTTCTCACTTCCTCAGGGGTTTTGATATAGCTTGAAGGGGTCTCCAGAGTTTGCAGTGTATTATTGTCATATTTGTACCTGTCTTAATTCTCTTCTTAGAAGTTGAACTCTTAGAGCATAAGAAAAAAGTCTTTATTCTGGGGGTGCATATGTGGGTTTTTATTCTTTAGTGTCCATCTACCTTGCATTTTGCACATAAACGTATGTGTTGAATTTGAAACTAAGTTACTGATGGAATGAACTCACTAACACCTTTTATCTAATCCAAACGGAATGTTCAAAGAAGGCAACATTTTACTGAAATGAAAAAAAACTCAACACAAATTAAAATAATTAATTTTAAATACACAAGTTAAATAATTTCTTTCTTTCTTTCTATCTTTCTTTCGTTTTCCTTCTTTCTTTTGGCTCAAGTGATTCTCCTGTGCTCAGCCTCCTGAGTTACTGAGATCACAGGTATGTGCCACTGTGCCTGAATAATTTTTGTATTTTTAGTAGAGACAGGGTTTTACCATGTTGGCCAGGCTGGTCTCAAACAATTGACTTCAAGTGATCTTCCTGCCTCAGCCTCCCAAAGTGTTGGGACTATAGGCGTG